AAATTATATACAATATTAGAATGTTTGCGGGAGCGGACACAAAAATCGCGGGAGCGGATGGGAGCGTGCGGTAATGGCCAGAAATTCAGCAAGAACGGGATCAACAAGCCCCACGCTATCACGCAGCAGCACAGTCAGTCAGTGAGCACCGTAACAGATGACGTCAAATCTTTCGGGATTCCATAAATAAAATACACAGAACCCCACTATTCAACAAATATACATAATGAAAAGATGACAAAATTTAATACCTTGGAAAATGTCATTTAAGACTTTTTAAGGGCCTTAATCTTCTCTAAATTTCTTTTTAAGACCCCGCGGACACCCTGGACACTGAAGACTAGAGTGATGGCTGATGAACATTCAGCTTTGCATCACAGAAATAAATTACATGTTAAAGTATATTAGAAGAATTTTAAATTGTAATAATGCTTCACAATATTACTTTTACTGTGTTTGATTAAATAAATGCAGCCTTAATGAGCATAAAAAAATATACACACATTCAGTTTTAATCATCTTTAATCTTTAATCTAAAATTAAATTTACATAACTAAAATTAAAATGAAACCGGGTGATCCATATAATCAAAGCACTAATTATTATCAAAATATTATTAAAAAATTATATTAGTATTTCAATTATACAAGAATAACACTGCTATGGATGGCTTTATAGGGTACCACTTACTTAGACAGAATTAAAATGAGATTGTGCTTATCTTTTATTATAAAAAAAAAGCTAGAATATACAATTATAGACAATACTGTTTTACTGTTTTTTTTTTTTTTACAGTAATACAAAATATAATTGAATATAATATACGGACTATTATCTTTATGTACTGTATATTTAAATAAAGTATCAATTAAATTATTATAAAAAATATTTAATTTGTTGGATTTTCCAATAACATTATCACACTGTTAATACTTAAATTTTGTAAAAATTTTAGATAAAAAAAAAATATATATATATATATATATAAAATGCAGTTATTTTTATAATAGAATCAAATAAATAATCCACTGACAGTCAGACACTGATTAGACAACGTCAATCTTCTTTTGCTCCAGACAATTTTATCCAAAGCAACTAACAAATGAAGAATATCACAAGCAATAGACCGACAAATAACAACTGCTAACACACACACATACACACACCTCTGTGATGAGAATGGGCCATGCTGCTGTTGTCCTGCTGGAGGTAGGAGCTGTAGGGACTCTGCAGGATACGATGTTGGAAACGATCCACGAATTGTTGCTCCTCCTTTTGCGTGTGAGCCGACAGCACCTCTTTAGTAAGACCCACCACGAGTAACTCCTCCTGAGCGGCTGAGGAGGTGGTGGGGGCGGAGTCTGTTGGCTCGCTACCCATTGGAGCATCTTCTAAGGCAGTGACCTCTGGAAGAAAACAAGCGGCAGACGCAGGTGATCAATGGGCCGAGAAACTTATCTTTGTTTTGAAAATGTACTCATCAGGCCATCCAGATGTAGGTGACTTTTTCCTGGAGTAGAACAGTAAGGAAGATTTTTAGCTGAAACCGTGGTACTTAGCGATTCATAAAATGCAAGTCAGCAGCTGCCCGATTTTGAGAATAAAAAAAGCATATAAAGGAACACAAAATGGTACAGAATTGTGAGATATAGACTTTTTTTCATTGCAATTGCGAGTTTATAATCTCACAATTCTGACTTTTTTCTCAGAATTATGAGATCAAAACTTGCAATTGTGAGTGGAGCAACTGCAACTGAATAAACATGGTAATTCTGACTTTTGGTTTTCTCAGAAGTGTGAGATAGAAATTCAAAATTGCTTTTTATATCTTGCAATTCTGAGAAAAAAGTTGCATTAACCTTCTTTTTTTATTTTTATTCAGCGGCTTTAATAATAACGTTTTAATAACCTTGATATGAAGTCAATGACAGTTATTGGCTGGTATTAGTTGCTTTAGCTGCATCAGACTATTGATATTTGCTGGTCAATATCTAATTGTGGACTGCCTATTTTTATATTTTATATGGCTTTTGCTGTCACCTTGCTCTAATTAAAGGGATGGCACTACATATATAATAAAAACTGAACTCTTTAAAAGCACTATTTTTTGGAGATTTATTTGACAGTACAAAAACGACTGATTTTAGGTTTTAATAAGTTTTATAAGGTTTTAATAAGTTTATTGCCTTTACTGTCACTTTTGAACAACTGGCCTGCAAAAAGCTTGCTAATGTGGCTTGTCCTCTGTGGATTTAGCGATCTCTCACCTGAAGGAAGAGCTTGTAGATCATGGCTTGCAGCTCTTTAACATCCTCACACATGATCAGCTGCTCGGCTTTACTCCGCACAGCAAAAACGTCCTCATTCAGAGGTCCACTACAGAGAAGACACACAAAAACAAGTGCTTCTGTATGAGCAAATGTCAGTGTTTGGACACACAACACAACAGGCGCGCTCCTGAGCCGGCGCTTACGTGCGAACTTTGTGCCTGCCGATGATGAAAGCCACCTTACGGCTCCAAGGGTTGATGAAGCTGGACCAGCTGGAGTCCAAGGTGATGTAGTCGCCGTTTTGACACCGAAAGCGGATGGGTGAGTGTTCAAACGGAGGCTGGCCTGCGTACTTCAGAACTGAAGGGATCAGGACACATTTTATTAAGACCTTATACAAGTCTGATAAAGACTTTACAATGTAGAAAAGTCATAAGAGATGTACGTACTTTTGCGGTGCATGGCCAGCATGAGCAGGCGGTCGTCTGGATGAAGGCAGGTCAGAACTGAGGTACCGATCAGGTCCTGAGGGAGGTGGCCGAGCAAAGGCACCGCTCTGAAAAACACACACGACCAACTAACACATGAGGAAGAATTTCACAGTAGCTACTTTACCACAAGAAAATGCATTTGTTTCAAGTCTTTGCCGCTAAAGACTCGTCTTATGCTATTGATTAAACGTGATGTTTGAAATCAGTCCAAGTCAAGTGTTATTTGTACTGTAAAAGACTTTAAATTCTAGCAAGATACTGAACTAATGTAGCTGATGAACTTAAAACTACTTCATGGTCATGTGGTTAAACAACGGCTAGCATAACACCCAGTGAGTACTGCAGAATAAACCTTAAAGGGGTCCTATTATGCTTTTTCACTTTTTCAACTTTAGTTAGTCTGTAATGTTGCTGTTTGAGCATAAAAAAGATCTGCAAAGTTACAAAGTTCAAAGTCCACTTCAAAAGGAGATATTTTATTTAACAGAAATCACTTTTCAAAAACTACAATGAACGACTCGTTTGGACTACAACGCATATTTTCCGGGATTTGTGATATCACAAATACCGACGAATGAGACGAGACCTGGTTGAGCTGCACTAGAGAAGGCAACGAGTGTCGGAGACACACTAGCTTTCCCAAGGCAGATGAACTTAGAGTGTTTACAATCATCCGGGTTTAAATCATGCTCAAATTGATTTGATTTTGACGCAATATTTACACTGAAGCTCGCAGGCGGCTATGGTAAGGGGCATGACATTTCCCGACCAGGCGCCAAGTGCTGCCAATCACAACACACACTGGCCCAGCTAACCAATCACAGCACATTTCGTATTTCAGAAGGCGGGCTTTCATTTGATGCAGGAACTATTCGAGCCGTTCATGCCAGACTGGGGAAAGAGGTGTTGTAATAATGTAAAATATGTGAAAAATAATGTGTTTTTCGAACAACCTAGTATGAGAGCCTGTTCTAGTACACCCCCAAAACAAAATCAAGACTTTGTAAAAGAGCATAATAGGACCCATTTAATGTGAAGCTGCTGACTGAACATTACTAGATTATTTGGTAAGCAGCCATGTAAGAAGTCGGAAACTTTTTACAGATACTTACTAAATAAACAAATACATGGACATTGATTAGAGTTTAAATTATTATTATTAAAATGATACATTTTTAATTTAAAGAGGTGACAAACAAGCAACAAGACAAACTTTATTATTACTATTACACTATTATTATTACTAATGTTGCTCAGCTTTACTCAACATATGTGCAACATATTTTATACTACTACGCTGCTCAGCCATATTCTGAGCAACATTATATTTTCAAATAATAATAATAATAATAATAAGCTGCTCATCTATACTCTGTGCAACATAATATTTAATAATAACAACAACAACAACGTGCTACTCAGCTTTACTCCATGCAGCTAATTATTGAAAAAAAAAAAAAAACTGTGCAACATAATATTTAATAATAACAACAACAACAACAACAACAACAACAATGTGCTACTCAGCTTTACTCCATGCAGCTAATTATTTTAAAATAATAATAATAATAATATGCTGCTCAGCCATATTCTGTGCAACATATTTTCAAATAATAATAATAATAATAGTAATAATAATAATAATATTATTATTATTATATGCTGCTCACCCATACTCTTTGCAACATAATACTTTCAAATAATAATAATAATAATGAATAGATAATAATAATGACAACAATGTGCTACTCAGCTTTACTCCATGCAGCTAATTATTTTAAAATAATAATAATAATAATATGCTGCTCAGCCATATTCTGTGCAACATATTTTCAAATAATAATAATAATAATAGTAATAATAATAATAATATTATTATTATTAT